GCCGTGCGTACCACTGCCTAGAGGTCTTCTCGCTATGGGCGCGGACACGCCGCAGGATGGCCCGTTCTTCTGGGCTGCAGCGATCCAGCATCTGCGTAGTTATCATTTTTCTCATATCAACAAACGCCATACGCGATCCAAGTTTTACGCCACATTTTTCTATGAAGGCGGAAAGCCTTTTACCAATGGTGCCCTCGCGGAACGCGATTACGTCGGTTGTGATAAAGAGGGCATCCTCATCAAGCTTGGCAAAGTCAGGGCGAATTCTGCGGACATAAATGTCCATGAATTTATATTGGTCTGGCAGCATTGGGCAGATCGCTGGTCCATCCTTTCCGCGCTTGTGCTTTGCCACTAGCATGACTTTGCAACCATCTTGGACTTTATCTGAGGTGTACTCGTGCAAGGTGGCGTTATTGAGCGGCCCGGGGCGAGTACCAGTGTCTAAGGAGAACTTTGTCAGCAAAAAATCCCTGACGTTGAGGAACTCTTTAGTACTAAGTTCCTTTCCACGACCCGCTTGAATTAGCAGCCTCTGGGCTTCGTTGTATGCGTCGCTGGACTTGATCCGAGAGAGCTCCTCCAGAGTGAGGAGTCCCTCGGTTTCGTCTACCATGCNTTGGACTTTACCTGAGGTGTACTCGTGCAAGGTGGCGTTATTGAGCGGCCCGGGGCGAGTACCAGTGTCTTAGGAGAACTTTGCCAGCAAGAAATCCCTGACGTTGACGAACTCTTTAGTACTAAGTTCTTTTCCACGACCCGCTTGAATTAGCAGCCTCGGGGCTTCGTTTTATGCGTCGCTGGACTTAATCCGAGAGAGCTCCTCCAGAGTGAGAAGTCCCTCGGTTTCGTCTACCAGGTGCTTGTTTTTCACATGATAGGTCTGGCTGTCCACGCACGAACGCCAGCCCTTGATGTCCTTCTGGAGGGTTTTGAACCTAGCCATGAAGTCAGGGTGGATAGCTGGGGCGCTCTTGTTAAACCGTTCGTGCGTGACGAAACCAAGAAACTTCTCATACGAAGTCAAATACGATATGATGGTACCAGGCTTCTTAGTGCCATTCTTTAAGTGGGACTTGACCCAAAGCTTCCACACGGCATCACCTTGGTGATCAAGGAGGCAAAGGATGTCATCGCCCTTTGGATCGATGGTCTCGATCAGTGATCGCATCTGGGATGCATGCTGGAGACGTATTGATATCTTTTTGTCGCCAGCTGTCGGCCGCGAGAGAAACTCGTAGAAGAGTACAAGCCACC